GTTTAATCATATTTTAGAATTTTTAACTATTACTTAAAACTTAAATTCAGTGTAATCAGCCCATCTGTTAGCAATGGTTATAAAATTATGTTGAAAATTAAAAATCAGATGCAGTGTCAATATGTCCTAGCATAATTAAGCTTTTTTTGTGATGAATGACTAGGATATGGCTTTTGTCTACTTGAGCAGCTTTAAAATAGTAAAACCTTTTGCAGACCTAATGCATGAAGGTATGTATAGAACAACAGCAAAAAATGTAAAAAAACTCAAATCCTATAGTCACAGATTTGGTGTCTTTACAGGCCTGGGGAAATGCCAGCAGAATAATTCCACATCACAGCCAAATTCACTGCATTTTTCAGTCCATCAAACACTACCTTGGATCTTTCCTTCTCCTTGCAGAATGACACCAAAACAAGCATTAAAAATGCAACTTTGCTAAGTTCATTATTTATTTTAGAAAGGCCCAGCATGACCTGCACTGCCCCAACCCTGGCAGTGCTCAAAGCCAGGCTGGATAAAGCCTTGAGCAACCTGCTCTGGTGGGAGGTGTCCCTGCCCAGGGCACAGGGGGTTGGGACTAGCTGATCTCTAAGGTCCATTCCAACCCCTTAACATTCTGTGATGGAAAAATTAGCACACACCATTGGCTTCCATGAATTGAGGGTATTGCTAAAAATACTTACCCCGTTCTTCAGTCCTTGAAGCATTGCAATGTTAACATTTTAAGCACTTTAATTCTGGCATTACTGTGAAACTGCTATATATAATCATCTCTATTGGAAAACCATTTGTTATGTGGACACTTTTTATCCCTTTAAAATGTGTCCTTGGGGGGAGGGGGGAGGAGAGAGAAACAAACAAACCCATTTGGCAAAAATAAAACTGCATAAGCCCTTTATATAGTCTATGTGCTAAACTTCCTGCAAAGTCTTCCTCCCCTACAAACTCTGCCTGCAGATGAAGTGTTTTAACCTTGCCCTCTTAATTTATTCTACATTCTAATTTTCAATAAACAGATGCCGCCTCTTTTCGCGCTTGTTTCCACATTGTTCCACATTCTGCCTGGGTTGTTTCTGCATGTGTGAATATTCAATTATCTATTTCTCCACGATTCTGCAACTGATGTACTAAAATGTCTCTACAGGTTTGGGGGAAGGGTAACCAGGGAAGGCAAAACTTAAGAGGGAAAAAAACACTTACGGAAGTTCGAACTACTCTGAGAGTCAGGTACTTAGCCCAAATGCTGCTAAATTAAGAAGAAAATCATTAAGTCACAACTAGAAATGCAAGGATGGCAAAAACATGAGTACACAGAAGCAGAATTGCTGCACATTGGCTCATAACATGTCTCTTTGGTCTTGGGTTTCAACTTGGGTTTTTATCTTGGGTTTCAACTTGGGTTGAAATGCTCAAGAGGCACCAAAGGGGCAGAAGAGGCTGTGGGTGCTGCTGCTTGTGGAAATTGGGTACTCCTTGGATGAAAAGCACAAAGCAGCTGATTCCCTTGTGGTTATTTATAGCTAAGAAGAGCTGATGACACATCCCAGGACTCAAAGGTGAGGTATGTTATATAAAGGATGGAATATTACTCTTGATGGGAACGGCCCAAAAGAGATCATAGGACTGCTCTGAAGTACAGCTCTCAAGACCTTGTGGTCCAAAAGTCTTAGCTGCAGATATGAGTAGCTTTAATGTGTAAATCTAAGGAATTTGGGGCACAGAATTGCACTGTCTTCTAAACTAGACAGTCAATATCTGCTCCTGCATTATTCACTTGTAAGGACTCCTCTTCCCTGCAGCACTAGTGAATTCTCACTGTTTGCAACCTGCCCTCTTATCCTGCACACTCCCAGCTGGAAAAATGACTCGTGTTGGCATCTGCTCTCACACCATGCTGATCAGACTCCAGTAACAGAACCAGCAAGCATGGAAATAATCTTGTTCTGGAGAGCTTTAAAGCTCCATGGGAGAAAAAGCTACACTGCATTTCAGTGGTATGTTCCAAAACCAGTAAACTGGGCAGGGACAGAGGTTGGGTTCAGAGTTGTGTGTCTGCCAAAAAGTGGTACAAAATTTACATCAGAGGTGGATCATGCAGAGGAGCCTACAAGTGTGGCAGTTGTAGAAGCCAGAGACACTCCATGGAAAGATGGCAGAGAGAGAACATGGTGATTGAGAAAATTCAGCTCACTGAGCAGTCTTTGCCAGGAGGAGTCCTGCACAGCTGCAGGTGACAGGTGAAGCCAACCTTGCTATCCCACCCACAGTCCTCCCCAGCTGAGACCCCTCAGCCACAGCTCTGTCTGCTCTTGCACCCACACCATCCTCTTTTCTTACCTGGCAATAAACAACTAGGTTTTGCTCATCTGGTAAGGGCTATGGAGCATCTTCTGCCTTCAGGTGCAGCAAAGCATCTCCATCTGTCCCATAGGTTCTGCAAGAAAAGCAAAAAGACCCAGACAGCAAAATGTGGCCCACAAACTTAAAGGCTAAGAGGCTGTGGTGAAAGACTTCTCTGTAATCAGTGCAGCCTGATGATTAAGGGCCAGAGCAGAATCCTGACACTAACAGGAGCATATGTTGTCCTGAGGCTCTGTGGCTGAGGTTCCCCTAACTAACACAATGCACTTACACAGCTGTTTAAAACTGCTATTCACAGCACAGACAATAGGTGATAAAAACCGGAGCAGTAAAAGCATCTAATGGGCAGAACAAACATGATTGATAACTTTCTTGCCTTTCAGCCCTCAAACCAAGAGGTACATGCTGCTTTGCATCAGGAAACTGCTCCCTCTGCTCCTCCAACCCAGGCCACCGTGGTTGCTTCATAGTCAGCCAGATCCATCCCTCTCCTGGCTCTCCAGAAGCATCAGTTTAGAAATGAGCCCTAGGAATCAAAACCTCCAAACTAAGTTGAGACATACAAAACATACTTTGCACCATTTCCCAGAAGTTCACCAGGCTTCACCAAGGCTGAGAAATTAATTCTCCCATCACCTGCAAAATACCTCAGTTCTGTCCCCAGAGCTAAAGGTGATCACTCACCTGTTATGGTACCTCCAGAATGAGGCTCAAACCCCTGTACACACCTTTTAATTATTTTAGCCCCCCCCCCCTGAAATGACACAGAATATGTGTCCCTGCAAGCCACACATAAGTAGAAGTTTGAATACTTGCTGAGCTTGGGCCCTGCAGCCCATACAGGGATTTTTAACCTGTAAATCATAGAATCATAGAATTTTTAGGGGTTAGAATGGACCTTAGAGATCATCTAGTCCCAACTCCCTGTCATGGGCAGGGACATCTCCCACCAGAGCAGGCTGCTCAAGGCTCAATCCAACCTGGCTGGGTTGGAGCTGTTAAGAGAGCATGCCAATTTCCAGGAGATCAAACAAATTAAAACAAGAAAGCAAAATATATCTTGATGTACAGCCTACAAAGCTCCCATGCAGCACAGAGTAAAGTACTGCCTGGATGTAGGTTTGCTTGATGCACGGTGGGAGATGACATTAGCACTCGAGTCTGCACCAGGCAAAGACTGTGCAGCTGCAGCTCTGCTCTAGGCAATGAGAGTGAAAAAACTCAGTTAAAAAAAACCAAAACCAAACATAAAACATTCTAACCTGATAAGTACTGGAAAAGGAAAGGTGATGTTCCATGAGTAAACTGCCCAGCGCGAGAGGGAAATGGTGATAAAGTCACCTCCCTGTAACCAGACCCTTAAAAGTTAAAAGATGCATCTGATTTGGAAACATTGCTCACTGGACAAAGTCAGGCTGTTCCTGTCCAGCTACTGCTGCAGCTTATTCTGCATGTGGCATTTGCAAGAGCATCAGTATGAATCTGATGGGTCTGCTCAGACAGCAGCATCAGGGAGCTGATCAGTAGGTAAAGCAGAGAAGTGCATAGAACCCATAAATCAGAAATAGAGAAAGATTTAATTACATGCTTGGTTAATATTTACAAACATTGAAATCGTTGTTAGATATGGAAATAAAACACAGGAATAAGAGACAGGGGCTGCAGTAGCCAAGCAAAGCCAAAATACACCAGGTTAGAGTATTTCTTGTGAGCTGGCATATGCCTGGAGAAGGGAATGGAGACACACTATATAAACTGAAAGAATAAATAAATAAATATTGACATTGTTCTACACCTGTTTAGCCTCTGGAGACCAGTGATTTGTGGGACCATATGTTGGACAAAATGAGACTGTTCATTGATAATTGTAAATGTGGTGACCCCTTGCAAACTGGATATTAAAAATATTAAGTAAATGGCACATTTTAATTAGACAGTAAAGAGGCTGATCTCCAGCATTAAAAGACTGCAGCTGTCAGGAGGAATTGATCATATGACAGAAGGTAACATTTATTTGATAGTAGACCTTGGTAAATGACATCCCAAATGATCTTTAGATTCTCAGACAAACGCATTCAGTTCAGAATTAAGTTTAACCGTGAGGCTTCAGTGCCTTTGTCTTTCAGCTGAGCCAATTTTTAATCTGTTCCTCCCATCCTATAGGGCTGGTTTGGTTTTTATTTTTGCTTAAATCTGCTTTGAAGTATTTCAATTTCAAATGAAGCATTATTAAATGAGAAACTGTAAACGATGGAGTTCGGAATTGGAAGTCAACACATTTGTTATTCCTTTTGCCAAAGGTATCGAGTAAGTTGCATAATTACCACAGTATTATATCATCTTTGTCAACACAAACAGAGCTTTCTACTGTCTTTGAAAGCGCCACTGGCGAACGACTGAACGTGCAGACTCCAAAGAAGAGCAGCCCAGGAGGAGCTGAGAGCATCCACAATGTTGCATAAGGAAATGAAGTAGATGCACAGCAGAAATGCCAAACACTCTCAGGTCTATGTGCTTCTGCATCTGAGGCCGAGGAGGGAAACTGCAGAGAGTTCCTGTAGCTTCCTTCCTGCCTACTGTGATCCAGCTTTAAGACAAATGTGATGGTAAAGCAGCAACCTGTGTGGATGGATTCATCTCAGTGATCCAAGAAACCCTTCCGTACACAGGGTTTGGTGTTTTCCTCCTCCACTTCTGATCTGATGAAGCACAAGGAATGTCTCACATGGTGCCAATCCTGTGGTGAGGCACTTGCAGAGTCTGAAGGTTGGGGCATGTGAAATAAGGAGCTGGAAGAAAGCAAGCTGCTATTCCATTGGAAGCAAAGGGCAATGTAGGCCCATAGAATACCTCTTCCTTCCCTTCCTTGCTAACATCCAGCACCTGCAGGTCAAAGCAGACAAAATATTTTCGGGGTCACAGAAGAAAGCACAAACAGATTTGCTGGCACACACCACATGTAGGTGCTATTAATCCCAACAGAAAGGTAGTTTCAGATAATCACAGAATCATAGAATTTTAGGGGTTGGAATGGAATATATATATATATATCATCTAGTCCCAATCCCCTACCATGGGCAGGGACACCTCCCACCAGAGCAGGTTGCTCAAGGCTCGTCCAACCTGGCTGTGAACTCTGCCAGGGTTGGGGCAGCCACAGCCTCCCTGGGCAACCTGTGCCAGTGTCTCATCACCCACACAGGAAAATACTTCTACCTAATATCTGACCTATTTTTCCCCTCCTTCAATTTGAGTAAGGTACCCCTTGTCCTATCACTGCAGTTCCTAACAAAGAGTTCCTCTCCAGCTCCACTCTAGGCTCTTGAGATACTGAAAGGTTTTCAGATTCTATTTATGGATCTGGTGATCTATTTGCTGTCCTAATCACCCAACCCAAAACCTGGAGTGCTCAGGCACTCAATAGCAGAGTGACATTGGATCCTGCTTCCTGGCAGCAGAATGTGAAGCCATGCAAGTGGCTTACTCTGCCCAGAAGGGATCCTGTTAGCACAGAGCACGAATCATTTGTCAGCTTTGTGTGGTAGATAGGCAGCAAAGAAGCTCTATGGAAGATGGAAATGCCAGATAAATGACTGACGTAAAGAAAATGAAGGTATATGAAAAAAAGTGGCGTTTTTTTCTTGACCAAAGGAGAGAGCAACCTCAGTTTTCCTCAATTTGAAGATAAAAGGGCTAATTTTGCTGGTTAAAGCCAGGCACGCTGCCAACAGCCGAGAAGGGGCAGCACACACAGCTCTGCCAAATCACTCATTACACTTCTTCTCCCTTTAAAGTGGGGACTGTGTCAGGCAGGCTGCCAGTTCATGACCAGTTAGGGGATGTGGACAAATGTCCACTTAGGAAAGCAAGATCCCAGGGTCATTTTCACTTGTCACTGAGCTGTATTTACACCCAGGTGAAATACTGCAAAGTACCTGTTGATTATAAACGAGCTCAGTGGTGGAGTACAGTCACCACTTCTATACTGTGCTATTACTCTGGGCCCCTCAGCTCAGGGGGGACATTGAGGTTCTGGAGCAGGTCCAGAGAAGAGCAACGAGGCTGGTGAAGGGACTGGAGCACAAGTGGCATGAGGAGAGGCTGAGGGAGCTGGGGGTGTTCAGCCTGGAGAAGAGGAGGCTCAGGGGAGACCTTCTCACCCTCTACAACTCCCTGACAGGAGGTTGGAGTCAGGTGGGGGGTGGTCTCTTCTCCCAGGCAACCAGCAGCAGGACAAGAGGGCACAGACTCAAGCTCTGCCAGGGGAGGGTTAGGTTGGAGATTAGGAAGAGATTTTTTCCAGAGAGAGTGCTCAGGCATTGGAATGTGCTGCCCAGGGAGGTGGTGGATTCACCATCCCTGGAGGTTTTCAGGCTGAGACTGGATGTGGCACTTAGTGCCATGGTCTAGTGACCACGGTAGGGTTGGACTTGATGATCTTGGAGGTCTTTTCCAATCTGGCTGTTTCTATGATTACTCCATCTAAAGCACTGTACATCAGCTAGTGTTACTCAAGACAGTCTGAATGACTTCTTCCAGTAACAATTGCTAGGTATGGTATCCAGCAACTTAGTAAAATACAATTATACTGTGGCCAGCACATGGTTTTAATTGCTTATCTTGCATGATCTTTACAGACTCTTGCTAGTAAGTGTCCATTACAAGACCAGCAGCTTGGCATCCTAATACATTCCATTCTTATGCTAAGCCTAACTTCTAGCCTTATGGGACAGTTTGGAGGTGAAATCCTAAAATCCAGAACGTTGGAAGCTAATGAAAATGCTGTTTATCAGCAACAGAGCAAAAACTGAGATGTAAACAAGTTTCTGTCTGTAACTGCCCAGCTGGTCACAGAGAAATGGCTGTGATGCAGATCTGCTTCCCTCAGAGACGTACAGAAGGATAAGAATCCCTAATTTCTGTAGAGGAATACCTGAAAGCCATGGATCTGCAGGCAAGCTGCTCTTATACAAGATGAGAGAGCAGAAGAGTTTGCTGGACAACCTATAGCCTACAGCAGGGATCAAAAAGCTTCCACTGAAGCTTTAAACCAGTGAGCAGCAGGGCAGGTTGCAGGCTGACTGAACTTGGGCAATGAACAGCTCCTTAACTCTGGCTTAACTCTGTTCAGAAACAGAACTTGGAAAGAAAAAAATAAACCACAAGCCAAGCTGAAAAATTCTTAGCCCATGCCCCATCACTCATTTCTACAGTCCTTTTCATTTTGAATTTGACTGCATAACCTGAGAATATATGTACATTATTTTAGCCAGACCTTGCCAAAGGAAAGATGACATAACCCTAGTTTACTGGAATATCTTAGAGGAATTGCATCTGTTGGCTCATCTGGAAATATTTTTAATATCCACAGTATTTCCTCTCTGTGTTTATGCAGCTTTGGTGGCTGCATAAGAAATATCCTTAATCTCTCTACTTCACATGTATTTTCCTTTTTTTTTAAATAACCTCTGTTCAAAACTTCTCCTTGCAAAATTATTGGAAAAGACTTTCAAAGAAACCTAAATCACTCACCTGGATACATGCCAAAGGCTCATTCGTCCAAATTGAATAGCCACCAACTAAATATATTCTACCATTGTGGACAGCAACTCCAGACTCATTTTGACCTAAAGCAAAGAAGGAAATAGAAACCACTTTCAGTGTTCAATTAGCCCTTTTAACACCAAACGTTGGGGTTCTGTAACAGGATGCAAATACACCTGGCAGCAACTTGACTGTTTCAAAATTCACCACATGTAGGAGCGAAGGTGAAGCACGAGGGCTGTTCCTTGCTCTCCACAGGAGCCACAGACAGTGCTGCCCAGAGATCCCCCAGGTGAGCAATAAGCTGTGGCTGTGCAGGGAACCATCTGCTCTGTCCTCGATGGCACTGGGGTGTGCATCAATGTGTTTCACAGGTGACAGGCACACTCCTCACCTGCCTCTCAGCTACTACCAGACATGAACATCCAAACAGACACAGAGGCTGTGAGTGCCAAGTGCCCCTTACATGCTGCCCACACCTGTTCACCCCCTGTTCCTCCAGGTACAAGTATGGGAAAAATTGCAGAAGCTGCTGCACAAGCTCATCCCCATAGCAACAGCCTCCTGAACAAGTTTGGGAGTTTTGAAGGATAAATACAGCCTTAAAAAAAATCTGCACTACTCAGTGCAACAGGCACATTTATTGTCACTTGCACAGGCACAAAGAAAGGCTCATATGGCTTCTTAAGGTGGAAGCAACTCTACAGGTTATATCTCAGGAGAGGTGGTTAGCTCATGGCATTTAGTGGGACAGAGTCAGCTCTCCTGTGAGGACAGGCTGAGGGAGTTGGGGCTGTTCAGCCTGGAGAAGAGAAGGTTGTGTGGAGAACTCAGAGCACCTTCCAGTATCTGAAGGGGTTACAGGGAAGCTGCAGAGGGACTCCTTGTTAGGAACTGCAGTGAAAGGACAAGGGGCAATGGATTCAAATTGAAGAAGGGGAAATTTATGTTAGATATTAGGAAAAAGTTCTTTCCTGTGAGGGTGGTGACACACTGGCACAGGTTGCCCAGGGAGGTAGTAGATGCCCCAACCCTGGCAGTGTTCAAAGCCAGGTTGGATGAGCCTTGAGCAACCTGCTCTGGTGGGAGGTGTCTCAGCACAGGGCAGGGGGTTGGGACTAGCTGATCTCTAAGGTCCTTTCCAACCCCTAAAATTCTATGAGAATGTGGGTGCTTGTGTTTCCAGGCTTTAGCAGTTGCAAATCACATGATGTCCTTCTCAAAAGCTGTCAGTTCCTCTAGATAATAAAATAATTAACTGATGAACAAAATAGATATTAAAAAACTAGTTCTGTTTGACAATATGTAACTACTTTTCAATCTATGCCTCTCCCCCCAATGTCCATCAAGTACACTGATGGCCTAACTCAGAAATCAAGCAACTCTTCCCCAGATCCCAGAGATTAAGAAACCCAGTGCAATATCTTAAAAAACAAAGTTGCCACTAGAGCAGCTTTTAAACCTAGCAGGAGGAAAATGACATAAGGTGACCATCTTTATCTGTGAGATATTCATTTCTCTGACATGGTGTTTCTAGCTACCTGCTATGCTCCTGCAGCCTTTGTATCCATCCATCTCAGTGGTAAATCTCAGAAATTAGTGCAGTGCCACCCTGCAGCTTTTGTATCCATCCATCTCAGTAGTAAATCTCAGAAATTAGTGCAGTGCCAAGTGAAAAAGTTTGAAAAGTGAGGTAGGCCCAGTTCTAGGACTCCTACAGCAGTCTGAGCTGAACTTTCTTGGCAGCCAGTTCTGTTATTAATTGAGCTCCAAGTCTGGTGCACAAGTGAATGGCCACAACATTAATGCTGTCCTGTCCTGGAAATCCATCCTTTTCTGCAAAGTTACTGTTGGTGCTATTCTGAGAATGTGTCATGTGCATGTCTTGAAGCAAGACCAGCAGGTTGAGGCAGGTGATTCTGTCTCTCTACCCTGCTCTTGTGAGACCCCACCTGGAGTACTGCATCCAGCTCTGGGGTGCCCAGCACAGGAAGGACATGGACCTGTTCAAGTGAGTCTAGAGAATGGTCATCAAGGTGGTTAGAGGGATGGAGCACCCCTCCTATGAAATAGTCATCAAGGTGATTAGAGGGATGGAGCACCTCTCCTATGAGGAAAGGCTGAGAGAATTGGGTTTGTTCAGCCTGGAAAAGAGAAGGTTTCAGGGTATTGTAATTGTGGCCTTCCAGTACCTGATGGGAGCCTACAAGAAACATGGAGAGGGACATTTTACAAAAGCATGTAGTGACAGGACAAGGGGGAATGGATTCAAACTGAAAGAGAGTAAGTTTAGATGAGGTATCAGGAAAAAAGTGTTTACTGTGAGGGTGGTGAGACACTGGCACAGGTTGCCCAGAGAAGCTGTGGATGCTCCATCCCTGGCAGTGTTCAAGGCCAGGCTGGATGGGGCTTTGAGCAATCTGGTCTAGTGGAAGGTGTTCCTGCCCAGAGCAGGGGGGTTGGACTTGAAGGTCCCTTCCAACCCAAACCATTCTATGATTCTGCGTCTCTCACAAGGATTCAAGGGAGTAGTACATCTTGGAAATGTATCAGGTGGCAATGAACTTTGGGAGACTGAGTGGCAGGGACAGTGAGTTGCACTACTTTGCCAGTTCCAGCTGTAACAGTTCTTCCTAGTGACAGCCACGAAAAACTTTTTAGATCTTGTAGCTAACTGAGATGGTCAACTCATCCCTGACTTGACAGAATTCCAACAAGGACACTTCCTTTTGGGTACTATATTAAGAAGATACCATTTAGAAATAAGTAAGGGTTCATGGATTTCCATGAAAGCTGTGCCCTATAATGTCAGCAGAAAGCACTCCAAAATGATATTATCATGGTAGAGACACACTGGTCTCTTGTACACTCAAACAGGGAGCTAAATCTCTGACTCCAGTCTAGCTTCTGAAGAACCAAAAATCAGTACCGGAACTATTACGAAAGATGATTTCTGACTGCTTAGTTAAATTGACATGCGCCTTCTTAAAAAATTTAGTGTTCAATGTGCTAAAACAACTGTTTTGTAGACCACTGCATGCCAGAAGTGTAATCAAAAGTGTCTTGTTGGCTGATGACTGTCCCTAAATTGGAAGCAATTGCAGCAAGGTCATGGAGTTCCACACACTAAAGGCATCTAAAGGGAAAAAACCTGATATTCCAGTTCAGTAGTAATGAGTTCTCCTTTTGGTGTACAATACTCACCTGTCAACATGTTGAAGCTGCAACGTGTCCATTGGTCAGTATCTATGCTGTAGGAGTCTATGTGCCGGACCAGGATCCGATCGTTGTTGTAGTCGAGATCATTCCCACCTAACACGTAAAGTTTCCTTTGGACAGCAGCCATGGAGTGATACACTCTCCTCTGCAACATGGGGCTACGGCTTAGCCACTTGTTCTGGAAAGGGAGAGAGAGAACTTGTCTCAGCAACCTATATCAGTAGTACAACAACAACAGCAGGTCACTGATGTTCTCCTTACCCTTGGTCAGGAATCACAAGTGCATGTACTTGTGTTGTTCATATGTTAAGCATGTGTTGGTTATAGCACTGACTATGCATCCTGGACTTTCAACACATGGTTTGCAGTTCTCACATTGAAGTTCATTAATTTAATAGTATTTCTTGCTCTGTATTTTTTTTCTGTTTAGCTCATCAGGTTTCAAAAGTCTTTTGTTTCTTTATAACCCAGTAGCAAATGCTCCTTAAACAAGACTATTAGATGCCTCTTTTGTACACAGTGCTAAAATTATCTGTACCAATGACCTGTTATGAGAGAAGTGAGATTTTTCTACCTTTCCTTATTCAGAAGCCTATTTGATCTTATCCTTGGGGAATGGAGCAACAGGGGAAAATAATTTCCTAAAGAATCTTCTCAAATGAATCATGTATTTGGTTTAATGTTAACCCTTTATTTGTGGGCACTTACAAAGTAACATCCTTTTGCATATTTTTCTTGCTAGCTAACAATATTCAAGAATTTAACCTGTTTAGGGGAGAGGCAAAAGGACACAAAAGATGAGGGATTAAAGCGCAGCATTTTTAAACCTAAGAAAACAATTGCTTCTGCTGTGCTCACCAAACCAAACAACGTGGCCATGGAGGAGGTTAATTTAAGTGGAGGAAGCTAAAAATCTGTGAGGAAATTCTTCGCGATCCACGCGCTGCTGCCCGTGGGAAGTCAAGAGCCGCCAAGACTTCTGCCTTTTAACCTCGACAAGACAGAGCTATACATTTCAATAGGTAACAGTGGAATATTAGGCATTAACGCTTGCATTAGTAGTCCAGTCTCCTAACACCAGACTATAGACACCATCTGCTTTGCAAAGCCTGCCTGCATCCCCTGATTATATCTTTAGCTTCCTCCGCCGCGGTGCCTGCCAGGTGAGCCGCCGAGCGCCGCAAAGGCAGAGAAACAGAGGGGCCTGGTGGGGTCATTTCTAATAAGCCGGTGTGTGAATACTAATCAGTGGTGGGGAGGCAGAGGTCACCCCAGCAGGCTTGTTGGCAGGTAGCTGTGTGCTCCGTGGCAGATGGCAGGCATTATCGACTCGCCACAAAGGCCTCGCGCAGGAGCAGGCGCCGGTGCTGAATGATAGAGTTATTGAGATTCCGTGCGAGAGGCAAGCAGATGTGATGGTTTCCAGTACCCACCGTAAACAATATGCCAGCAGAATTTTTAAAAAGAGCCTGTGTGTACAAACACGAAGCAAACCTCGTTTGAAGAATGCAAGCGCACAGTTCCGCTGTAACTCCTTACGTGCCGGGTTGGGCTCCTCGCACACCCAAGTACCCCTGGCACTGGGATTTTTGGGGGGGCAACTTTCATGTCAGTAAGCAAAGAATCCAAGTGAAAGGTACAAAATAGAGACACGGTACTAAATCTGTGTCCCCTCTCCTAAGCAAAATAAGATTGCTGCCTGTAATGGCTACTTGGATTTAGGATGGAATCCGTGTTTGTACGATCGATGCATAAAGCTGCACCTCAAGAAGAAACAGGCAGGTTGTGTCATCTACACTTCACCTTGGAGCTGAACATCAGGAAACTGTCTGAACTCCCTTTCCTCCTGCCCCTCATTCTTAAATTTAAGAGAGTAACAATAATAATAATTAAAACAAAGGCTGATTGGAGCTGTTTCTGCTCAACCTTCCACAGTCTCTTTTCATGTTACTGTCTGTAACCAGATTTTTCAAGAAGCACTGTGAGAAAAAAATGATTATAATAATAATAATGATTATTCATATAATAAAAAGCATCTGGAACCAGCTCAGAAGACTTCTAATGCTTTTCAGCTTGACTGACTTGGAGAGCATTGACCACACCAGTTGTATTTTCTTCAGGTACCAATGCATGATGCAATGCAATGTACCAAAGCAAGGCAATGCTTTCTGCCTCAGGACCTATATGGGCTATGCTTTAAAAAGTCAGTGGGAACCACATAAACATATCTCCTGGCACAATTTGGTCCCAAATACAGCAATCAAAGCCCCTGTCCTACAATCAGAAAAGTCAATACTCTTCCACGTGGGTGTAAATCATGCGATGCAACTCTGATTGCAAGCTTAGGACTTTTAATTCCTAACACAAGTAAGAGGGCATAACCATGCCCTAACCCTCTGAAATGGTTACTGAGCCATGTTAACCTAATCAAAACACATACATAATGTATGAAATAATCCCTAAAAGATATTTTAGGTGCTTGGGTAATGAAATGATAGGCAGTCAGCAGAGTAAGTCAGGACCAGGTAGTATAGTTCTCAAAGTATGCAGAAAACAAGAAGGCAATATATACAACTCAAAGCAGAAAGGCCAATGACAAGGAGAGGTTTAGAGACACTGGCTTTGAGTATGCATTGCCCAGGGTTTCTGGATTAAAAAAAAAAAAAGAACAAGCAAAATAAAAGCTGATAAATACAGGGGATTTAAAGCACATTTTTGTATTTAATCTAAGATGTTTCTAATGTGCACAGGCTTAAAAAACACCAAGGTTTAAAAGCCATCAGGGTCTCCATTACTCTGTTAAACTCCCACATCAGTACAAAGTGAATTTAAAACACTAGTAATTCAAATGGTCAGCATTTTTAACCTCACTAAATCACTGCATGTATTTACCAAGAGACCTGTTTGAAGCAAAACATTTGAGGAAAAAAAACATATACAACACACATACCCACCTGCTTGGGATCATAGACCATGAGCCTGTTTTGATACTGTGCAGTATTTGTTACTCCTCCTATGAAAGAGTTTATACAGGTTACATTTTTTCATATAAGCAAAACCAGGACCAAGATCAGGTACAGCAAAATAACCAGCTCTAGCACTCATTTGCTGACATAATTACATTACATACCACCACTTCTGCTTAAAATGCACCTTTTTATCGTGTTATAATGTAATAAGTAGCATTTGTCAAACATATAGAAACACAGAATAGTGTCAACAAGCACCACACACACAACTTCCTTTGTAAAGCTAATTCTATGGGCTAAAATTGAGATAAAAATTGACCTGTTTATAAATGACTCTGCATTCAGCTGTCGTCACGACATGAAGACAAAACCCATCCCTATTCCAAGGAGTGTGCAGTGTGTGACACAGTTTTAAAGAGGAGGAGGTGGGTTTGTATCAAAGAGAAGGTGATGGTTAGAGAGGAGCTCTGCCTAACCAGAAATACAACATGGGACACCACTGGAAAGAACAGAGCAAACCTGTGCAGTTGTGCTCACCTATATATTTGAAGGACTCTTGGGTTTAGCTTGTATTATGGAGAGAACATCTCCTGGTTTAGTTGAATAGACTTACATTGAAAGGTTCCTCCACAGAGACCAGAAACAGCACTACCATTTACTTTTCAATAAGCTCAGAAAGCAAGGTGTAAAGCACTTCAGAGAAGGCCAGAACAGAGTCTGACCCAAGTAGATGCTGCAAACCAACTATTTACCTCAATACAGTAAGCACATGTTTAATGCGCAATCATCCTGTTCTCCATTGATTTTAAATGGCAAATCTCACCAAGCAAACGTGAAAAATTCTTCAGTCTCAAGTCTGCAGTCTTAACTGTGCCAACATGTTCTTGAGTGTGCTCAACCCTCCTGGGGACATGGTGTCACTGCAGCACTGTCACAGGTCCCAGCTCTGCCTCTGTCACCACCCTGGGCCTGTGACAAGATGGGACCAGAAATATCACTTCACCTTCATCCTACCAGGAGGTCTGGGCAGAACTAGGGCATGCCAGTGGCCACACACCAGTGAGATTCATATTGACAGACACACTTTTTATATTACAGTTTGAACATCATGTGCAAATGAGGGACACGGAGAACTATAGAGAACTTGGCACCAAAGTTCTACCTGCTGATCTGCTCCCACTGCACTGAGCTACTTGCTGACATAGAACTATCCTCTGATCACTCCAAATGACATGAGTAAGGCCAAGAAAATGAGCAATGGATAGCAGAAACTATGGACATATCTATTTTAGAGTCTTGTCTCCAACTGCAGCAGCAGGGAGGAGTAACACTGGTACCTGGGTGCACCTCCATCAGCACCAACCTGCACTTGGCCACTACACATGGACAGGAGCACAAGCTCTCAGATCAGAGATGCTTACAGGCTAAGAGATAGCTGGGATGAGATGTAATCTTTTGTGTTTCTATCACAGAATCAGTTAGGTTGGAAGGGACCACAGTGGGTCATCTGGTCCAACCTCCCTACTCCAGCAGAGCCACCCTAGAGTGGCTCAGGATTGTGCCTAGATGGCTCTTGAATACCTCCAGTGAGGGAGAGACATCACACTATGCCACATCCTGCCCATCAGAACACCCATGAAGGACAGGCCAGACCAGGCACTGGAAAACAATGACTATTTGATCTCACAATCTGTTACTTGTCCCTACACTGCTCAAAGTCATAGTGGCCATCAGCCCCACGCACAAACCAATCTTTCAAATATCTGTTTTGTAATTTGATTTTCTTTTACATATAGTTATTTTCCCTCCCAGCATAATGTTTAAAATGAGATGTCAGATTAGCATTTTGCAAAACAAAAATAATAGTTATTTGGATGATTACCTCTAGAACGTTGAACTACAGGAAACACATTGTTGGGTCATGTATTTCCATTCCGAAAGGACACTTTAATCTGGGGAGGGGGGGAATGTGAAGGAATAAGAGAAAGAAGGGTGTTGCTTCCTCATAAAATAAGCAAATAAGCAAAATTATTTGCCTCTCTTCACAAAGAGCCCCTCACATCAAGTACACAGCTTACATCTTTTCCCCTGCAATATTGCTCATCTGTGGTGTTTTATCATTACATTCCCTTCACATTCCGCTCTTCACTTTTAGATTAATCTGCCAAAATGAGATGCTAAGGATTTGCATACAGATTTGACTACACAAAAATAGATCTGGAATTAATAACAGTCTCTATATGTTTTAATTTCTTCTAGACTGGAGTACCCTTGCCTCCAGCAGTATTCTTGGCTTTGAAAGTCATCAAGCTGATTTGTCTGCTCTTAGGTTATGATGCCACATGCTGCTACACTGTCCCCTGCAATCAAAGTGCTCGCAGAGATAGATTCCATGCCTTCCCCTAACAAGTATATTTTATAGATTGGCAGTTTTGATCTCCCCTCCCCAGGGGGATAATCTGCATCTTAACAGGTTTCTATAGATACATCTGTCATTAAATATGCCATCTTATATCTGCATCAATTTTCGAACTCAAGTTCCTCCTAACTTTGAAGTGCTATAGCAAAAGTTTAAATTTTTCTGCCAAAATACAGACTTAACAAGTCTGCAATGTCCTCTTGAACTATTTTTTTTTTAAAATACTCCAGGCAGCTGGGAAAGGGCAAAAGAACAGCAATATGTCTCTTATAAAAAACAGGAAAAAGAGAGGGAAAAAGTTTAAATGGTACTAAAAATAATGCATACTTGCTCAGGAAAAAAAAAAGAGAAAAAAAGGGTAATTCAGAGAGAATTTCTTAAACTTCTCTGCAGTGCTTTCTATGAGGAAAGGAGGAGATAGAAAGGCATCAACAACATGAAGTATTTAAAACTACAAACCATGCTATTAAATTTGATGTCTAGCAATAGCAGATAATGTGGTAGTAACCCAACAGTTAAAGAAAGAGGGGAAAAAAATGTCTGGCTGGGTAAATGACAGGAAATTTACAGTTTGGTCAATGCTTGCTGGGTTTTATAAACAGAGTGATGTTTACACCACTCTGACATGAGCAGCTTGCTTCCAGCACTCCAGTTCCTGAGAGACAAGGAGCACTCTTGGGACAAGGTTTGTCCATCTGGCTCTTACGGACATGAGCACACCCTGATGTAAAGTCCAGCACACAACCAGTGGGTTACTGTGTTTTCACACTACCACAGTCACTGCTGCTCACTCACTTGCAGGCTCTGAATGTTACTTTTTAAGCTGTAAATTCCCAGCTCAGGCAACAGTGTCCATCTGCATGGGGAAGTTAGAATCATAGAATCATTAAGGCTGGAGGAGACCCCTAAGATCACTGAGTCCAACCATCAACCTGTCACTGCTGGAACCCCTAAACCAGATCCTCCAGCATCAGATCCAGGCTGCTCTTAAACACTGCCAGGGATGGTGACTCCACCACCTCCCTGGGCAATATTCCAGTGCCTGAACACCCTAACAGGGAAAACATTTTTCCTATCATCTAACCTGAATCTCCCCTGCAAGTTGCTGGAGAATTTCGAGAAATACCTTGTCCAGCCCTTTCCACCACATGGGAAACATTTTGAGCTGTTACAGTCCCCCCAAAACAGTCCACAAACTGCACTGACAAACACCTTCAGGACAGACACTTCCACAAAAGAGAAGGGTGGGAGGCAGTAGACTCAACACCATTTTCCCAAATGGCAATTTATAATCTGTATTTATAGCATGCCATAGCAAGACCCCCATATGACCTGAGAATCTAACCCAATCCAAATCCCCCAGAAGATCTCACAGCTCTCTCTGAAGTCCCCAAGTGCTAGGCTGTGTGTGCGAATCCGAGTTCACTGGGAGACGTGTAAAACTTAGATGTTGGCAAAGAGCTCCCAAGTGTACTCCTTCCAGCAAATCCAGGGAATATATAGAAACTCATGACATGCACCCCAAGGTGCTCTGCTCTTTGAAAAGAGAAATCTCTCCTCTCCTAGGTGTCTGTGTGTTAAACACAAGATAATCCTTCCTCAAAGTGCAAACCCATTGCCCCTTACTTCAGACAGCACAGGTGCAGTGAGCACAGCTGAGACTGAGCATATTCTCCCATGCTAAGGAGTCCCCTGGAAGATGCCAACAGCAGCTCTACCTAATGCTGTTCCACCCCAGATGCAATCCACCTGCAAACAAGAGGGGCACAACCTCTAGGTTTGTTTGTGGGTTGTTTTGTTGGTTTTTTTACATCATCAAAGCCAGATGTTCACATTCAACCCAAGAAGAATCAATGGCATCAAACCTGTATCATCCATACCTGAAAGATGAGACCTATTATCTTTATTCAAATATAGCTATAATGAAGCCTGTGTATCTTTCATATACAGACTAAGACTGGGCCACTGAGGTGATTTTTTATGTACTTGTTAACCTCCCACTCCTGGTAAATTCTGTGCCAGCCACACTGTAAAACTTGATTTGGTTCTGTAAATTTCTGTTATTCCAGATCTATTTTTCATAAAAGAAAAAGAGATCATTTCACTGGCATCATAGGCATTTAATGAGAAAAGACTTTCTCCTCTCAACAGCATACTGATAGTAAGGTAATTCTATTCATCCCAAATCACTTGCAAACTCAGAATAATTCTCCAAGATACCTTATTTCCATTATTTCCTTGGTCAAAATCTCCACCATTGGGGAAAAAAATAACAGTGAAGGAAAAAAAATTAATTTTGAAGAAAAACATATTAAATACAAAGCAACTGTACAAGGCTGGCTTGTTTACCCCTTCCCCCAAGCTGAGTTTCTATGTGCATGTCAAGATGTGATTTTAGCTGACACATTCGAGGTCAGACAACTCAGGCCACTGTGAAACAACAGCATAACACTTGGCTTTAAAGACTTTTCATGTGCTAATCTCTTGAGCACCTGAGGCTGAGGGGAAGCATCATTATCCCAAGATGCAGGTGCAGGAATGGCCCAGAGCTGGAGTGCCTGGCAGAGGTTCCCTGCCTCTCGCTGTCCCCAGGGGCACTACTATATAGGAGGAGGAAGGTTAAGGTGTATAGAAAAGTAGGTCTCTAGATTTGCATGTGCACACCACAGAGGATGCAGGGAAATGGACACAGTTCAAGTTCTCTCTCTTATGGAAAATATTTCCCTGCTTTTATGGGTACTTATTGCTAGTAATGTTGAACTCCAAAGCGTTTGGTATATTTTGTTTCTTTTTCACTGAAATACTTCACTTCTCAAGCATGTGGCAGGCAATTCGTTTGTGAAACCAGTCACGACATCAGAGGTTAACTGAGGCCTATAAGATTCATCTTTCTATAAAATTTCCAAACCATCTGAGAACTTATTTGTCATGGTTTAACCCCAGTTGGCAACTCAACCCCACACAGCCACTCGCCCACTCCCCCCAGGTGGGATGGGGGAGAGAATTGGAAGAGTAAAAGTGAGAAAACTCATGGGTTGGGATAAAGATGGTTTAACACGTAAAGAAAGAGCCAGACACACAAGCAAAGCAAACCAAGGAATTAATTCACTGTTTCTCATGGGCAGGCAGGTGTTCAGCCATCCCCTGGAAAGAAGGGATCCATCAAGCTTAACGGTGACAAACACTATCACTATGAACATTCCCTCAGTTCCTCCTCCTTCCCTCAGCTTGGTATGCTGAGCATGATGCCATAAGGTATGGAATGTCCCTTTGGTCAGTGGGGTCAGCTGTCCTGGCTGTGTCCCCTCCCAACCTCTTGCCCACCCCCAGCCCACTTGCTGGTGGGGTGGAATGGAAGTCTTGATTCTGTGCAAGCACTGCTCAGCAATAAGGAAAACATTCCTGTGTTATCACGACTGTTTCCATCACAAATCCAAAACAGAGCCCATACTAGCTGCTATGAGGAAAATTATCTCTATCCCAGTCAAAATCAGCACATTATTTTAGTGAATTCTCATGTGTCTTTTAAAAGAAGAAAATGAGGGCTGTGAAAAAGCAAATAATAAACAACACTCGAGAAAAAATAATGACACAAATATAAAAATACGGAGCTCAGAAAACTCAAGTGTTGAATTCACTGGTGCTGACCAGAGGGTCTGACTAGTTCCAGAGTGCAAAAGGCTCCTTCTTTTCACCTGCTCTGTCAGGTTAAAAACCCCAAAGATGTGGTGGCAGCTTAGGAGTCCCTCTGCCCCCTGGAACACCATCCACCCATCTCCTCTTGCAAGTGTGTCCTTACACCTCTACAGCGTTTTGCTTAGCACATTTCCCTTCCCTGCTACCTTTGCCATGATTTCATGCTCTGTTGTTTTTGAATCCTTCTCATATTTGTCCCAAAGGAGCAGCAAAATAAAGCTGAAAATGAATCCCAATAAGAACAGAAACTCCTTAAGCCTAGTGGGCTTTGGATCAGCAAAGCCTTTAAGAGAGCAAGAGGTTATAGCAGAGGCACCGAGTAGGTCACTGTGCATGACATGTTTTGATGACTCCCTCCACAAATACAAGAGCTAGAAACTTATATTATCACTATTTAATGTATTCATTCCCTAAAACACTGGGCACATTTTCGTGGTTCCCCTGCCAGCTGGTAGCAGCAGACTGACTTTGAGAGCTCTTTGCTGATGACCCGTATTTCCCAGAAAAAGCAGCAGGGATACAGCTCAGAAACATCTCTAATTCAGTCTAATTTTTTAATTACTTAATTTTAGGCCACATACTTCGAAATTAGGTTCCCTCCTGCATTCCTGATTACTTTTATGCTAACATCTCATACTCCATGATGAACAGTGGGTTTTTTCAGCAGTGACTACAATACAATAAACCATCTCTCTGTACTATTCCCCTGCCCCCAAATATACATGCACCATGAGCTACATACTGGTCCTAAGCAATTAACTAATAATAGAAAGCTAGCCACAGTTACTGCATCTCCATCTACTTTCCTCTTTAAAATAACTCCAGCCAATACACAGAAACCAGTTTTCAATCTGTGAGTGCATAATTCAGATCAATACCCTACTGAAGTAGAGCACAGTATGCTCTCACACTTCATAATGACCTGCCAGAATCTAGCAACTCAAAACTGCTAAGCATTTGCTCAAAAACTATACAAAATAGAGCTGAAAAGCCCTTTTTATCTTATTTGACTGCCAAAGCATTGCTTATGACTGTGGCTTCACAACAGAAGTTATGTTGGTGGTGGTTTCAAATATGAATGGAACAAAACTGATAAAAATATTTTTTGCTGTTTTCCACAGTTGTAAAGAGTTCATCTAATAGGCTTCCACTTACCTCTTCCCCTGATTCTACAGCTCTGTTAGAGGCATATCCTTGAACACAGTATCACATTGCATCAGTGTATAAATGCAGGTAGTATTTAAACACACAGGCAGGGATGTATTTCACCTACATAACTAAGCACATGAATTAATCCTCAGGATAATTTTCCCTTTCTTAGCATATGTGGAAAGATTAAAATTAATCTTCAAACAGTCCCACTTAAAAACCTCTAGCAGATATTTTCTTGGGTTTGGATTGGGGCTTTCTTCAAAAGGAAATTAAGACAAAATTTATCACTTTTTTTTTTCCATTGACTGGAGGAACAACCAAACTGATGGATTTCTAGCAGATTCAATGATTTTATATCAATATGCTTAACACAATTCCCTAAAAAGTCCTGTTTTTCATAGACTGATAAGAGGGAAAAAGCACAGTAATCAAAGCACAGCAGTAGTAACACCTGTGCATTCCTGGTGCCCATCACAGACATACATCCCTCTCCACTAATTAAATGGGAAATGTAGTGAATAAACAGGATAATGCTCTGAACACACTCAGATGGTACTCTAAAGCAGAAATCCTGTTCCTGTACCATGTCTAGGTCTCACTCCAGGACTAACACACAGAACAAACTCTGCAAGACTCCTTAAGTGATGGTTACTGAAGAAAGTGACCCATAGCACCTGCCAGGGATCTTGGTGAGTTTCTGTGTTCTGTCCTGCTTTTAATTCCAATGTCATAATTCATGATTTTAGCATACATATATAAAAATAGATACCTGTTAACTCCCCTGCCAATGCTTGGGAATCCATTCCCACAAGGCACTTAATCCATGCAGACAGAAAGATACAAAAAGATGTTGCTCTGCTAACCTAAACAACATATTTTGAGCAGCACGTGAAGGCCTAAGTAGTTAACTTAATCTTCTGCTCATATACCATCTTTTCACCAGGGGCATCCCAGACCATATTAAAATCCCCAGAGGGTATCTACGATGAAGATGGCAATCACTGAACATTTACCTCAAGGGCTGGCCCCATTTACTCATTAGCTTCCTTAATAAATATTATAACTATATAACCTTCTGTGGCACACTTTTTAGTAAAAGGTGAATATTTTTCTGTCAGATCTTCTGTAGACAGCATTGACTGTGTTCCAAAATAACTAATACCAGAAAAGCCACTACAAAAACTGATGAAGCAACATCCTCTACCCCATCAATGTGCACATGTAACATAAAAACTCTACCAGATTCAGTTGCAAATGATACCATAGTTTAAGATTCTAAGGCCTATACATTCATCTCTCTGTGCTGTGAAGCTGTGACTATATCCAGACAGTCTTGTGCACTCATATGGACAGAGCCATGGATGATTTCTAACAAAGGTCATCTTGGTCTGTTACACTATCCTGAAGAACAAGTGGGAACAATTCATAAATCTACCTTCAAGTCTTGGAACAACACAAGCCAACAAGCACTTAATTTTCCATGTCTTTATCTGGAATAAATGAAACATGGAATCATAGAATATTCTGAGTTGGAAAGGATCCCCAAGGATCGTGGAGATCCAATTCCTTGCCCGGCACAGGGCAGCCCCAAGAACCACACCATGTACCTGAGAGCATTGTCCAAATGCTTCTTGAACTCTGCCAGGTTTGAGGCTGTGATCACTGCCCTGAGGAGCTGTTCCAGTGCCCAAACACCCTCTGGGGGAAGAGCCTTTTCCTAATACCTAACCTAAACCTCCCCTGACACTGCTTTACGCCATTCCCTTGGGTCCTATCGCTGGCAGGAGTACCAGATCATCCTAGAGAAACTGTGTCTTGTTTTCTAGATTTTTTGAGGAAGCACACAGAATTTATCATCTGTAATTTGTCCAAAAGTGCACTGTCATTCCAATTCACTGTGATTTATGAATGGCAGCTGGAGATAGCACATATGATATATGCAGCTTTGAGACACAGAGAGAGACTTAGGGGAAATAAGATATTATGCTCCTATACTTCTAATCAGGCTTCAATCCTTTGAACCACCCATCTCATAAGACAGAAGTTATCACGACATATAAACCAAATAAGATTTATCAGTTCAATTCAAGACAGTATTTTGGTATTTTGTTAGTACCTCAAACTGTGTGAAACGTTTTCTACCTGATATCCAAAGAAGACCATCCACCACATATCCCGCGTGGCACGAGAGCGACCGATCAAAGGACTGTACAAAGGTCCACTTGTTCTTCTTGGGGCAATAACGTTCCACTGTAGGCAACACTTGACGCAACTCATTCCTGCCCCCTACAGCATAGAGGTACTCGTCCACGGCTCCCAGCACAAAGTGCTCCCGGCAGTTCTTCATCGGAGCTATCTCCGCCCACGAGTTAGTGCGCGGGTCGTATCGGCAGACAGTCCTCACCGCACACATTCGCCCTGTGGAGTGCTCTGCCTCTCCCCCAGCGACAAAAAGAAAGTCTCCCATGACAGCAACACAGTGGTGGCTTCTCCCTACAGGCATAGGTGCTAGCTCGCTCCAGTTTGCAATCCCTGCAATATGAACGTTCTCTTGATCCACCGGGTTGAAGTATCGCAATTCCTTCACTTTACAGATTTCCCGTTTTTTCCCACCGACGATGTAAAGAGTGTCTGACTGGAAACGAGGTTTGGTCCGTGCAGTTTGCCAGACTGGCTGTGCATAGACACTCTGGTGGTAAGCCAAGGCCTCGTTAATAAGTGCTGTGGCAGTTTCACTAGCTTGGACAAGAGGATGAGAAAGAGCTACTGTATGCAGCGTATCCACATCCATAAGGCCAAAACGGACGTACTGGAGCAGTTCATCCAGGTATTGGTAGCGGCAGTTGTGCTCTAACCACCTCACAGCCAGCTAAAAGTGGGAGGAAGGAAGGGAAAAACAAGACATCGATTATTTGTGTACATTTCGGTCAACATTTAGTCTTTCAAAGCCACTTGTGTTCCAATAGCAGCTATATACTTGCCTCAGGAGTGATATCTATCCATCTAAAAAGCAGTTATGAAAGCCTATGGTCAACACAAAAAGATACCTACTAAAACTTCACCTATAGTGAATACACAAAAACACTGTATTGCACCAGTCCCCCTAAAGAATTTCCACTGCATTATCAGTTGGCTCTACTGCTATGCAGTACTCTCATGGTGCAATCTGTAGGAGACCACACTATCCCAGAATCAAGCTGCTGGAGCAATAATATAAATGTAGGGATTATGGGATCACTGGATACCATAGGAACTCTAGAAAGAAAAGTAAGACTAATGTTAGAAGATTAGAGAGAAAAGCCTTTTCTCCCTCTCAGCTTTCATTCTAGTTATGACAAAATATTGAAGGAATATAACACAAATCATACTGAATCCTTTGATTTTTTTTCTTCTTCATTTATTTTATTCATAAAGTGGAGAAAGGTGTATGGGGAACAAAGATTAACCCAGAGAAGAGAGAAGAACAGAATAGGCCCTGCTAGTTTGGGACTGACTGAAAGCAGCAAGGAAAACACTAAAACTGTTCAGCAGTTGCAGCTGGTAGCAGCAACTAAAATTAAACATAGCCTGTAAATCACATAAAGCATATTGAATCCAACTGGGCCAAAAAAGTGGCTAAGGAGGACCTAAGCCATTTCAAGAATTGTTGTCTAAGCTATTCTTGAAAATCGCCAGTAATGAAGACACTCAGACTTTCTCAGGAAAACTGTTCCCACGCTCAGATACCTTCTCAGACAGATTTTCCTTTTACCTGTGCAGGAGCTCTAAACCCTTCAACTCATTGCCCCATTTTCCACCTTTGGGTTTATGTTCCAGAGTAACCCCTGAAATTGATTAATCCATACAGGATGAAAAGCAGTTTGTTACTTTCCTTTTCTCCTCCACCTCCAACACCTTTTAATGTGTGTGTGCTGTAGTTTCCTCTTCTCTGAATGAAAAAAGTCCCTCAATGCACCTTGGGTCACCTTTCTAAGCCTCTGTTGCTAGGCTCACAGTTGTCTGTTGCTGAAAGGAAAGCCTCAATGCACCTTGGGTCACCTTTTCTAAGCCTCTGTTGCTAGACTCACAGTTGTCTGTTGCTGAAAGGAAAGAGTTATCTTTCTTAATGTTTGCTGTTGAAAAGTAGGGAATAGGTTGGAAGGATGTCTTTGATTGCAACAATCTCTGCCATTTTTGCTTGTGCATCACAACACAAGACTGTCAGTGCATTATGATATTGCTGATTCATGTTTAAGCTTATGACTGAGTACTATTGCCACCTATTTTTAGTCTTTCTTTCTCAGCAGAACTCCCCATGCTTTCCCTGTCATTACTGAACTCTCTACTATTTACTTCGGGCCACTGCTCCACTCTCTCCAGATCATTCTCAATCCTAATTGTATTTTTGAAAGTGCTTGAAGACCATTCCACCTTCTGATTGTCTGAAAATATAAACCCCATATTAGTCTTTCATCCAAGTCATTATCAAAGCCATTGACTAGTTCCGTATGGGGACAGACTCCTCTACTTGATACTCCAAATCATCCTGACACAGAGCAGGTGTTTCTAACTAGCTGCAAGATAAAAATGCTTCAGCTAAATCTTACTGCCCAGTGCTGCTCATGAGCATGTCACATGAAGGAGCTGAACATAAAGGCTTCTGTTACTCATGGCCTTCATATATGATGTATTAAATTTATTACTGCTTCTATATCCTGTCAGAGATGGAAGATGACAAACCAAAACTACCATCTTATTATGATTAATTTGAAATACATTTTCTCCATTGTGAACCTCTATGAAACTATCAATGAAGGGCATAAAACCCCTAACAGTAGTTCAGTCAGTTACAAGCTATGTTGAGTTTCAAAATGTGCACTAGCTATATGTGCTTAGATTTGTTGGTAAAAAAAGGCATTAATCAAGTCCATTTGAAAATGTTTATGGACTTGAAATCAATGAGCTTTACAGTTATGTGTTCTAAATCCACCAAACCCATGTGCCAGATGTCTCCTACCGAGAGGCATTAGGCAACTCCCTACTCTATATCTTAGGCCATGTGAATGATTCCTGAAAGGCATTTAGCTCTCATTGTTTTAGAAATTGAAGTGAAATTTGAGCTATCTTCTATGACTATATGAAGACACCAACAATTCATATGAACTGAATGATGTGTTGGGTTGCTATATTAAAATAGAAGAATCTACAAACCCTCAGTTCTTACCTGTCATCATTTGCATTCAACAGACTGGTTCCTTTTGGAGCTATAAGTTGCTCCTGGCTCTTAGCAGACTCCAAATCTGAGATCAGTTAGCAGTGGAGCACTGCATTTTACTATGCTAATTTAGAAAGCAGGGCTAAGAACCCTGCACATCACAACACCACCTGGATGGTCTGCAGGCATTTGATAATCAGCAAAGCAGCTCTACTGGGTCCTAGGAAGGCAACTGAGGGCTGTGTCCAAATTGTGTCCAAATTGACTCATGCTATCATTTGAACACAATTTGACTACAGTACCTTGTGTGACCCACATCAAATCTGTGACACTACAAGGCAGAGGAAAGGCATTAAGAGCCAAAAGCTATAATGTTTTGATTTCCTTGTCTTGCTATTGGGATCAATAACTGTTACTCCATTTTTAATACCATAAATTCATTTGGGGTCACTCCTTAGAAATAACTGCTAGGAATTTAAGCTACTAATGTAGCTATCTACATGTACAGTTACAGAATACAGAACTAACTCCTAAATTGTGACACAAGGCTATGGAACAGGGCATATGGTTTTAGGAACACTCACAAACTGAGCCCTAGATTTCTGTCTGGTGAGACATTGGAACAGGTTGCCCAGGGACGTGGTGGCTGCCCCAACCCTGGCAGTGTTCAAGCCCAGGCTGGATGAGCCTTGAGCAACCTGATCTAGTGAGGAGATGTCCCTGCCCAGGGCAGGGGTTGGGACTAGATGATCTCTAAGGTCCATTCCAACCCCTAAAATTCTATGATTCTATGATTCTGCATTGGTTGTGCAGCACATTGTTGCAGTAATCTCTAGCAGAACACAGTGTCTCACACTATGGAGGCATGGAAGAAAATTGAATTATCTCCATGGATGAGCAGATATTCTAATCACTGCATGGTTTGGCAGTGACTGGAAGGCTGGAAAAGTTCAAAAGGAAGAAAATTAAGTTCCCAAACAAGCCTTTCACTTGTAGTAGAAACAGTTGCAAATTTCCTCCAGCGTAAAGGAGGCAAATATAACTCTCATCAACATATGGCAGAGACACAAACTTCCATATAAGACACCAGCAAACATCTGTATATCTATCAACACTGTTTCTAACACCTTTACTCAGGTTTTGTTTAATCCAGACTTAGAAACCTGGTACCTACATAGAAACTCCCAAATTCACACTGTCTACACACTAATTATAGTGCCTATTTTTCAGCCTCTCTGGCAATAACGATTAGGAACTATAATCAGCACTGGCAAAATAAACTCAAAGCCATTAAAGACTTTATGGTGCTGCACTGTTTAAAACACAAACATACAAAAATAAAGAGGCCATCCACAATTTTGAGGTTTAAAATATTTGTACTGCTGCTAAATAATTTAAAAAACTAAGGAAAGACTCTGACTCCTAGTGCCATATAGGCAAATTCTGTTTAAACTGCTAGAAGCTTCTTTTCTATTAATTTTAATGTATGAGCGTGTGAGAAAAAGAAGCTACAGCCTAGTGCCTATATCAACTTTAATAAATAATATATTTTGCCATATTCATCTTCTAAACTAAGTAAATGACAAAAGTAGACCCTCGGAAGGACAAGATTTTTCAAGTCAGATTAATTCTCTTATTCTAATGCCTTAACCCAAAGCATTTTTCTTCTCTAAGGTTAGAATTTAGCAATGGACTGCATTGTCAAAACAGAAGGAAAAAATAGATTATGGGACAGTTCTAGTGTACTTTGAAGCATGTTGAATAGTAATTTCATTGCTGAACCAGGAGTTTCACTCCTGTTGAAGACAACTCTGTAAGAAGCAGTTCCTTGGTCTTTTGGGCTGCCAGCTATGCCAGGAAGCAAGAGAGCTCATCACACCTGTGCCTTCCCATCCAGCATGCCCCTGCAATCCTGCTCACACCACTCTGCCAGGAAATATGCCAGACCTTCACATTACAGTACACTTCCACATCATAGCAAGTTTTCTAATCATAAAAGCCAAGCTACTTTATGAATGAAAAAAGCTTAACAATCATAATTAGACTCAGGTTCACTTGGAAACTACTTTAAGTCACAAAGTCAATGTTTGGAAACCTTTATGCTCTCAAAGCTCCAGAGGAGAAACCACTTTTTTAAGTCTGAGCTCTGTGAGAGGTAGGGGCCACAGGAACTCCATTACAGTCATCTTGGTCTGCTCTTTAGCTAATGTATTCATATTGTAGTCATAGAATCATAGAATTTTAGGGGTTGGAATGGACCTTAGAGATCACTGAGTCCCAGACCCCTCTGCCATGGGCAGGGACATCTCCCCACTAGGATCAGGTTGCTCAAGGTTTCATCCAACCTGACTTTTTTACAATGGACTTCAAATGAAATAGGCTATTTTATATCAACTAAGGTGTCTAATAACTGAGCTGAACCCAAAAAGTGACAGTAGTGGGGAAAAAAGGAGGGGTTTGGAGTGTTGTTTTGGGGTTTTTTTGCTTGTTTGTTTTAGCAACAACAAATAGAAGGAACTAAATTTTCCTAAAGTTTCAAAACTGTCTCATTAAAACAAATGGAAATCTTAATTTATGTAATTTCTAATAATTAGTGAACATTCTCATTTTAGAAGAAAAGAAAATTTTACATAAGGAAACAGAACTGGAGAGATATATTTTCCTGGACTGAGATC